CTACTCAGGAGGCTGAGATCTGAGGATCGCGGTTCAAAGCCAGCCCGGGCAGGAAAGACCGTGAGACTCCTATCTCCAATAAACCACCAGAAAACCATAAGTGGCGCTGTAGCTCAAGTGGTAGAGCGCTCGCCTTGCGCTGAAGAACTGAGGGACAGCGCACCAGGCCCAGAGTTCAAGCCCCACGACCGACCAAAAAAAAAAAATTTAGCCAGGTAACAGTTCATTATCAAGTGGTATTACACTACTTATTGATGTGTTGTTATTGGGGTTTTTTTGGTACCATATATGGGGCTTGAACTCAGGCCTGGGAACTGTTTCTGAGCTTTTTTTGCACAAGGCTAGTGTTCTACCACTTGAACCACATCTCTACTTCTGGTTATTTTTTTGTTAGTTTATTGGAGGTGAGTCTCACAGACTTTCCTGCCCAGGCTGATTTTGAACCTCAATCCTGAGATCTCAGCCCTGAGTAGCTAAAATTACAGGAATGAGCTGCTGGCACCCAGATATAAACACTTTTATTCAGGAAATTATGTTTACTCTTAATATTGCAATTAATCTTTTCTAACTTTTTTTTTTCAGGATAGGATCTTACAGTGTTGTCTAATATTCTCCTGGCTTCAAGTGATTCCCACCTCAGCCTCCTGAGAAATCAGGACTTATACATGTAATTGCAATACAATGGCAATACAATTACAGTATTTTTGTTGAAAGGTATTTTTCATTATCTATGACTTTTTCATTTTTGCTGTTCACCCTCAAAGATGAAAGCTAAAATATGAATCTTGATTCAGTTTAGCAGGAATTGAATATTATTATTCTAATATCACTAAAAATACATCAATGTCTTTGTCTCCATTTCTTTGAACAGAGATCCTAAAACCTTTGAATCTCCTAAGTGATAAATTATATCTTCTTATTTGTAACAAGCCTCTTCTAACCATATCAGAGTTTATACTGAGGTGATCCTCAGAAGGCCTTCAGGACAAGGGGAGTGGTCATCAGAAAAACCAACCAGGTCATTAGAGGTTTATAACTTTCATACTCAACACTCTTGACCTCCAGGGAGGGCAAAATAGACCAGAGATTCAAATTACCAATGGCCAATGATTCAATAAATCATAGCCACATAAAAAGCTCAGAGACCTTTCAGGTTGGAAGCTCTTGTATACTTTCCCATTCTAAAATGCCCGATGTATCTCTCGTACCTTACTGCTCCTAAAGGTAGATACTGCCTTTGAAGTTTCTCAGTTTTGAGTTTTTCTAGCAAATCTAAGGAACTATAGGAATATTCAGCCAAGACAAGAAATGCAGTTACCCTGGCACTTTGAAAATGAGCTGAATTTTAGGACACTTAGCTGGTTCAGATATATTTAAATTAAGGCAAACAATCCAAACTCGGAAACTAACCTATTTTTAGTTTCCTTTACATTATAAGAACTATGATTCACACCATTAGGAAACACAGGAAAATTATCATTGGAACTAGCATCTTGTTCTTCTTCCTCCTCTTCATCTGTCCGAGCAATTCTTTCAGAAAGGTAACCATCTTCATCTCCCTCTTCATCTAATGCGCACTGTGTAGAGCCTCCCCAGGTTGCCATTGTTCTAGTGATTAAAACATGTAACACAGAAATCATATGGAAATGAGCTACTTAAAATCTATTACCTGACAGATATTGTATTAAACAGTTTGCTATATAAAATTTCACTTAAATATATTAACTATTAAGTGTCACTCTCCATTACCTAGTATACAAAATGTTTAGCTGTCTTGTCACAAAACAATTATCAAAATAAATTAACATAACCATACCATTTGGGGCTTTTATCCTAAATTAAATGTCCTTCACCTTTCCCTTGAGTAACTTCTCTACTTCAGTGCCATCCAACAAAACTTTCTGCAATATTGGCACTGATCTTTATTTGTGCTACCCTATTCAATAGATGCTTGGTAGTGGCTATTTGACACTTTAAATGTTGTAGACATGACTGAGAAAATTAATTTTAGATTGAATAGCCACCAATATCCTGGTTGCCACACTAAAACATGCAATCTAGATTGCTGGTTTTGAAACCAGGTGCTCATCAAAATCACCTGAAAAACTTCACGAAAGAAAAGAGGTTCAGGCTGGTGGCAAAGTTCAGAGGGTAGAGCCCACTTAACAATCATGAAGTCTTGAGTTCAAACTCCCATTACTATATTCCACAAAGGAATAAGTAAGTAGTAGCCAGATAGAAGAAAATATTGTATAGTTTGACCAATAAAATGTATATTAGGAGCCCAAGCTCTAAGAACAGAAAAAGTTATTGTAAATGGAGAAATACCAGACAATATGAAAGGTGAGATCCCAATAAACTGTGATTTTGAAACTTTAAATCTAAATATTATGATATAGTAAAGTAACTGACTATATAGATCAAATCTTTTGGGCATATCCTAAATATGAAAACTTAAAACTTAAGTCTTGCTTTAATACCTTTAGGACCTTTACAAATAGTAGATGTACAATTTGTTAAAAAATGCTTATTTCTGCTCTGATAGAAAAGAATTGCAAAACATCTAGCCTTTTTCATTCTATAATTTTAAATTTGACTAAGAGAATAAATTTATAAAGCTCAATAGGAAATGTCCTCATTACCTTGCTCATGTAACTGTAACCCCTCTGTATAGTATTTTTACAATAAAAAATATACAAAAAAAATACAGAACACCTATCACCATAGATGTATAAATATAGTGCTACGAACAGAAACATGCTGTAAGACGTTAAAACAGAATATAGTGGGATTCAGTTTAACTGAATCATAAAGTCATTAATACTTCAATAAAACATATGGTTTATGAGATTAGAAAATGAGGCTGCTTGCCTACATATTTAGTCAGGCTTTCAAGGAAAGATTTAAAAACCTCTTACTTTTCTGTTCTACTTTGCTGAGGTGTGCACAAGTTCTCAGACCCATCACTTCTCAAGGACACAGCCACTGGAGATGTTGTTTCAGCTAGGCCTTGTCTCCTCTGATGTTCAGCCATCAGAGCTTCCAGCTGTTTTCTTCTCTGTCTCAGCTCTTCCCTTAACATTTCATGTCTTCGCATATCTGACCAAAGCTATTGTTTTAAAAGTTGGAGGAAATATTTATATACTTATTTTACCTTAAAGCTTTCTATTTGCATGCTAAGATATCCATGAAAGCCAGTATATTTCAGTGACTAAAAAAGACAATATTTTTTTTTCTTTTTTGTCGGTGGTGGGGCTTGAACTCTGGGCCTGCACTGTCCCTCAGTTCTTCAGCTCAAGGCTAGCACTCTACCAACTGAGCCACAGCACCACTTAAGGTTTTTTCTGTTTGTGTGGTGCTGAGGAATTGAACCGAGGGCCTCATAAATGCAAGGCAAGCACTCTACAACTGAGCCACCTTCTAAGCCCCAAGACTATATATATATATTTGTCTGTTGTGGGGCTGAACTCTGGGAACCGTCCCTGAGCTCTTCAGATCAGGGCTAATGCTCTACCCTCAAGTGCCACTTCCGGCTTTTTCTGCTTATATGGTGCTAAAGAATCAAACCCAGGGCCTCATGCATGCAAGGCAAGCATTCTACCACTGAGTCACCTTCCCAGCCCCCCAAGGCAATAATTCTTAATGAAAACAAGTAGCATCTGAACATACTTCAGTAAAATAAAACCCTGTATTTTAGAAAAAAACTATTTTGTATAAATTATATGTAAATAAAGTACTGACAAACAGCTCTAACTGAAATTAGTTTTGTTTTTCACTACGATTGCCTAATAAAGACCAAATATAACAGTACCAGTGTTTGTGTTTATTATTTTTTGGAAAAAATTAATTTACTAATCCAACTGAGAGACCAAACACCTTGTTATTTAAAAACATATTTTGCATAGCATATTTGTCTTCTATGCCTGAAGCCAAGACACCATCAACAGTACCAGAAAAGAAAAAAGCTTCAATTTTCAGTTCCCTTTTTGGTTCTGGTCCTGTGGCTTGAACTCAGGGCCTAGACACCGTCCTTGAGCTTTTTTGCTCAAGGCTAAGTGTTTAATAGTTGGGTCACAACTCCACTGGCTACCTTTTTTTTTCCCCTTTTCTTCTAAGTGATTAGTTGGAGATAAGAGTCTCATAGACTTTCCTGCCTGTTTAGTTTTGAACTGTGATCCTGAGATCTCAGTCTTTTGAATATCTAGGATTTCAGGTATGAGCCACCAGTATCCAGCTCAGTTTTCCTTTTTAACATGGGATTTAAGACCAACTTAGAGGGCTGGGAATGTGGCTTAGTGGCAGAGTGCTTGCCTAGCATGCATTAAGCCCTGGATTCTACTCCTCAGTACTACATAAATAGAGAAAGACAGATGTGGCACTATGGCTCAAGTGGTAGAGTGCTAGCCTTGTGCAAAAGAAGCTTAGGGACAGTGCCCAGGCCCTGAGTCAAACCCCAGGACTGGCAAAAAAAAAAAAAAAAAGACCAACTCAGAAACAACACATTCGCCCATACCTCATTATCTACTACTGAAGAATCTTCAGGCTCATAAACAGATTTGCTTGTACCAGCCTCATTTTCATTAACAGTTGGGGTTGAAGTAACAGCTGGCAGGTATTTTTTTGTGGGACAATTACCCATACTAGCAGCTGACAGCTAAAAAAGAATTGACAAAAACTATTATGAAGTATTAAAGCAATTACATTAATTGAATAAAACTTTATTTCTCCAGAACTCTATAGCTACATTTAATCTGTTACTACCAGACTTCATTTGTCATCATCACTCAAAGATAACATATGAAAACAAAAACTAAAGATAATGAATAGAAACAGAAACACTAGAGAATAATGCTAGTGGAAAAAATTTTGTAAATTTTTATCTCAACTCTTCCCACATACTCCTCTGGCCATTTTTTAGGTTGGGAATAAAAAATTTAAGAGTTTAGAAGATACACAGTTCTATTAGAAACATATTTTTTGACATGCTTCTCTTTCTTCAAAAATAAAATGTAACTTGCTAGGCACCGGTGGCTCACGCCTGTAATCCTAGCTACTCAGGAGGCTGAGATCTGAGGATCTCAGTTCAATGCCAGCCACTTAGGAAAGGCCATGAGACTCATCTCCAATTAACCACTCAGAAAACCAGAAGTGGTGCTGCGGCTCAAGTGGTAGAGTGCTCACCTTGAGCTGAAGAGCTGAGGGACAGCGCGCAGGCCATGAGTCCAAAGCCCCATGACCAACAAAAATAAAGAATAACCTAACCAATAATTTTTGGAAAACCTCAAAAAAATTTTATTCAATTTTCAAATACCCCTGATACTTGATTATTTGACATGGATATCGTTTATTCTCTGTTCAATCTCCAAGACCCATATTATAATGTTTTGTTTAATAAGCAGAAGTATGTACATTTAATATTAAGACAATAATTAATTTCATATATAACTTGTGATGATATAAAGGCTTTCTGATATAATTCTAGACCAACAAAAAGGAAATGCTCGTCCATGGTTGCAAAGTTTAAAGCAGAATATTTTAATAGTGGAGCACAAGTGGCTCACACCTGTAATTCTCAGGAGACTGAGATGTGAGGGTTCTAGTTCAAAGCCAGCTGGGTATGTGCGCGCATACACATATTTTAATATAATAATTATTCGTGAATATTTTTGTGCTAGTCTTGGGGTCTGAACTCAGGCCTGGGTGCTATCCCTGAGCTTTTGTTTTCCAAGATAGCAGTCTACTATTTAACCCACAGCTCTACTTCTGTTGGTTTTAATTTTGTCAGTTGTGGGGCTTGAACTCAGGGCCTAGGCACTGTCACTGAGCTTCTGTGTTCAAGGGCTACCACTCTATCACTTTAAGTCATAACTCCAATTCCAGTTTTCTGGTGGCTAGAGATAAGTCTCATGGACTTTCCTGCCTAGGCTGGCTTTGAACCATGATCCTCAGATCTCAGCCTCCTGAGTAGCTAGATTTACAGATATGAACGATTAGTGTCTGGCTTGATTTTTTTTTCCTTTTTCATTTTTTTGCTGGTTAAGTGGAGCTAAGATTCCCACAGACTATTCTAGTCCCTAAGAATGGAAATAATCAGTTTATTCCCATGTGTCATGTTTTATCAGAGTATAAATATATATGCTTACTCCATTTAATGTCACAAAACTAGATATAAATTTGCCAGTCAAGACTACTTTCAGCTGCTATTAGATTTTAAACATCTTATTCAAAGTGAAATTTTAAAATCACCTGTAGATCAGGACATGCCTTTTGCAAAGCTTGAATTTTCTCTTGAATCTCAATCAGTTTCTTTCTTTCTTCCTGCAATTGTTTTAGCTCTCTCTGTTGTTGCTGTAGTTTAGCCTCGTAAAATTTCTCTCTGTAATTATATTGACATTGTATTTATGGACTCCAATAAAATATGGTTAGTAGTATTAAAATAATACAATAACCAAGTAGTTTTGCTATAACAGCCATTACCTTTTGAAAGACCAAAGCTTATCATACCTTGCCTTTTCATTTACTCCAGTATCTTTCTGTGTTTTACTAGCATTTCCTCTTGCATTATTTGAATTTTGTTTGGTGTCTTCTGCAGGGTACAAATCACCCAAATTTGATGTATTGGCAGAGATAACTCCATGAGCTGTATCATCATCCTAAAACAACATAACGAAAACCAGCATGAGCCACATGCCAGTGGCTCATGACAATAATCCTAGCTACTCCGGAGGCTGAGATCTGACGATTACAGTTCAAAGCCAGCTTGGGCAGGAAAGTCTGTGAGACCCTTATCTCCAATAAACCACCAGAAAACTGGAAGTAGCGCTGTGGCTCAAGTGGTAGAGTAAAAGCCTTGAGCTGAAGAGCTCAGGGACGTGCCCAGGCCCAGAGTACAGGCCCCATGACAGACCAACCCCACCCCCCAAAAAAAGGAAAACCATCTTGATAACCAGACACCATCTAATTTACATCTACTAAATATGCTAAGATATAAAGTTACATAGTTCATATAGAAACCACCTAATTTTTACCAAAAAAAAAAAAAGTATTCTCTATCAGCAGCCAAAAGCGAATTACTAAAAACCAAACTGGGTAAATTTTAAATGTGACTCATCAATTTTTCAGTGCTATGGTGCACTGGTGAAATTGAATCCCCACTGTTAGGTACTGAAAAGGACAGAAACATAATCCTTCTAATGTTGATTAGATGTAGCCTTTAGAAAGTGATTATGCTCAGATAAGATCACTAGTGCAGTCCCCACAATTGGATTCTAGTGACTTTATAAGAAAAAAGAGAGATTATGTGATGTCTTAAACTACTTCAGGATTCTGTCATCACCAGATGTGGACTATTAACCTTCACAAGAATGAGATAAATAAATCTATTTTATTATAAAATTACCCAGACCCAAGCATCTCATGATAGAGAACAGATTAAGATAACTAGCAATAACAAAAATTTGGCTACTTTTTCTTGATAGGTAAGCTATCAAAAAATAGCCTTCTACAGAACATCTTAAAAACTAACTTAACTCATTACTGTTATGAATAGGGAGGCTAGGAAAAAATGTGTTGTAACTAGAGAAATGAGAAGCAGCTTCACAAAGCATTGTCACAAACAAAAAGTGGAAAAACTAAATAAAAGCTAAAATTAAAAAGAGGACTAGGGCTGGGAAGGTAGCTCAGTGGTAGAGTGCTTGCCTTGCATGCATGAAGTCCTGGGGGTTTGATTCCTCAGCACCACATAACCAGAAAAAAACATAAGTGGTGTTATGGCTCAAGTGGTAGAGTGCTAGCCTTGAGCTGAAGAGCTCAGGAACAGTGCCCAGGCCAGAGTTCAGGCCCCACAACGGACTGCCCCCCCCCAAAAAAAAGGAATAAAAGCTGTCTAAAATTTCAGGTGGTAATATAAGAATGCCTCTACAACTGAAATATTAATAAGCTATTGTATTAAAAGATGACAGTGACTGACTAAAGTATTATCATTTTAAAATATACTTCATCACAGACTAAGGAACTAAAAAAGGAGAGTCTTACAAGACATATAAAGTTTAATATTTGGAATTTTCTCATCTCTGATTTATCATTTTTGATCTCAGAACATTCCCTAAAACAAGTTTGATTTACATAGGCCTGATATTGAACTGGGAAGGTGGCTCAGTGGTAGAGTATTTGCCTCACATGCATGAGGTCCTGGGTTTAATTCCTCAGCACCACATAAACAGAAAAAGTCGGAAGTGGCTCTGTGGCTCAAGTGGAAGAGCGCTAGCCTTGAGCTGAAGAGCTCAGGGACAGCACCCAGACCCAGAGTTCAAGCCCTACACATGTACATATTTATGAAATTAAGTTAATTTAACTGTAATCCACCAAAAATTAATTCCTCATTTCTGTTGTAGTATCCAATTTAAAGTTGTACATCTGAAAAAAAAAACTTGAAGGAAAAGTCATTTATAATAAATAAAAGAACATTCAACAGAGCACAAATACTATCATTTGCTTTAGAAACTTTTCCCCCCCAATGGTAATATTGGTTGGGTCCTGGTAGTTCATTACTTTAATCCTAGGAGGGTGAGATTTGAGAACCACAGTTCGAAGTAGTTCCAGGCAGAAAAGTCCATGAGATTCTTATCTCCAATAAATTACCAAAAAAGCTGGAAATGAACCTGTGGCTCAAGTGGTAGGGTTCTAGCCTTGAACAAAAGAAGTTCAGGGACAGCACTCAGGCAGAGTTCAAGCCCCAAGATTGACACAAAAAAACTAACAAAACACACACACACACACACACAGAGAGAGAGAGAGAATAACAAAAACAAATAGTAATAGTGTAATCAGAATTTCCAGGACATTCAGAGAAGATTCCATTCCTAACCCTAAGTGATTCCATTCCGCATAAGCAATGAATGTTAAATTTAGTAACCTTCCAGATACACATTGTATGTAGGCAAAATAAATACACATATTTGACTCACATTTCTATGTGTTGTTCCTATTGCCTTACATATCCAATCATGTTCATAAACATATTTAAGTATCCTCTTTCCTCAACAGCATTTGAGGAGGGTGGGGGAGGGAGAGGGAGAACACAAGGCCTTGAGTTCTGGTAAGGCTTGCTTTTTCACAGTAGGTATTCTACTACTTGAGTCACAATTCCAACCCAGTTTTTTTCTGGTTAAGTCTCTCACAGACTTTGCTGCCCAGGCTAGCGACACACCATAATCCTTGAAACCTCAGCCTCCTCCTAGGATTGTGGGAATGAACCACCAGTGCCTAGAGAACAGCTCTTCCTCTAATAGCGAAAATCTGGAAAAGCCAAAGGTTAATCCTACTAATGGTCAATAAAGATATAGTATAGTAGCCAGGCGCTGGTGGCTCACGCCTGTAATACTAGCTACTCAGGAAGCTGAGATCTGAGGATAGCAGTTCAAAGTCAGACTGGGCAGGAAAGTCCGTGAGATTCTTATCTCCAACAAACCACTAGAAAACCAGAAGTGGCGCTGTGGCTCAAGCAGTAGAGTGCTCGCCTTGAGCTGAGGAGTGCAGGGACAACACCCAAGCCCAGAGTTCAAGCCCCAGGACCAACAACAACAAAAGATATAGTATACAAATATAAAAACATGCCATCAAAGGTTAGAGGAAATAAACTCGCTTATACATAAATGTTTAGACAATAGTCACTCTGAAGAGTCATTGAAGTGTCCTTTAAATAAAAATGTATACGAACAGAAATACTCTTAATTTTTCATATATATTCTACAAAAACACAAAAAGGCCTGTGTAAGAAGGTTCACTGGAGCAGTTTATAAAAAGAAAAAGTTGGAAACCATAAAAGGATATATCAGTAAGATGGTATAACTAAAAGTTCACGTACATATGTACTGTGTATATATGTGCAATATTGCAAATATTTTAACTAGCTGTAAAATCACATTTATAATTATGTTTATAATTACATACAATACATGCTGACAAAGGTTCTTCAAGACACTGTACAGCAGGAGGAAAAAAAGCAATAAAATGTGCATTGTGTAAGTTAGAACCACTTATTTAAAATAGGTATATCCTCAATGTGAAAATGTACAATATTTACATGCACAATGAATGTAAACAACAATTTATAAACCTCTAAAGAAGTTATGAAGGCACATCAAGGAGTTTAGGCTAGGCACTGGTGGCTTACATCTATAATCCTCAAGAGGCTGAGATCTGAGGATTGTGGTTCAAAGCCAATCTATGCAGAAAAATCCAGGAGATTCTTATCTGTGTCTCAAGTGGTAGAGTACTAGCCTTGAGCAAAAGAACTCAGAGACAGCATCCAGGCCCAAAGTATAAGCCCATGACATCCTCCCCCCCCAAAAAATTTATGATTAATAAGTTCTAATTTTAATTTTTTGGCTTTATTAAGAAACCATATAAATTTTCTTCTGTTATATCAAAGAAGAAAATGGTTAGATATATAGGCCTTAGTATGAGAACATCTAAATGCTGTTGGGCATAGCTTTATAACTTATTGTTTATTACCTTTGGTAATATTATTATTTGGTAATATTATTACCAAAGGTAATAAACAATATCTGTTTTATCTATTTAGTATCTATCTACTTTACTGCATGACAGAAGGTTGAGGGCATCAGCAAAAAAACTTGGTTTAGTAAATAAGACTACACTGAAACATAGTAATGCTCATGTGTTTATACATTAGTGCTACTTTTACATAAGAAGTTGTGAAAACTGAATACAATATGAGTAAAATATCTATACTCATCATTAACAAAAATGTGTGCTGATGTTTGTATAGTATACCAGTCTTCAAAACTGCCAGATAAAAAATAAATGGAGGACTAGGATTATAGCTCAGTGGTAAAGTGCTTGCCTAGCAAGTGTAGGAACTTACTTGCCTAGCAAATCCCTGTTACTGGTATAAAAGAGAAGAGAAATGTACTATCATAATTATAAACAACAAAATAGCCAAACATATAAATTTTACTTTTTAAGATTGTACTAACAATTCATCATGTATTATTTACCTGCACCATAGCAACAAGATCTTGTAGCTGTCTAAGTTTCTGTTTTGCAGCCATAAGTCTACTAATCTTCTGTTCAAATTCTGCATCTTCTGGAGCCTCATCAACCAGACTGCTTCTATGACTTGATAATGAAGCTCCACTTACTCCCTCTTCTTCTGCTTCTTCCTCCTCTTCCTCATCATCTTCACCTTGTGCTGCATGCATCCCCTGTTCTCCTTCTCTATTGTATCGACAGTCTGCTAAAAACGTCATTCAAAAGAGAACTGATGAAAGAAAATCCAATTAAGAATATCAAGGCAAAATCATCTCTGAATATAGACCACCATACCTAAAGGAGGAGGCATATTTAGACCCCTGATGTTGGCAGCAGATCTGTTATTAATTTCACAATTTGAATTAACTGATCTCCCATCTCTATTATTAGAAACACACTGTGTATTACTATTACTATTTACTTCATTCCAGGTGGCAGATACTTGTGGATTTCTGGGGAAAAAAAGAAGAAAACCTGCAGTTATTTAAGGTTAAAAAAAATAATTAAGGGTTTAAGAGCTTTAATAAAACAGCTTAAACTAAGAGTAACATTAGCTATCTTTTTGTCAGTTGTGGAGCTAGAATTTAGGGTCTGGGCATGCTGTCTCTAAGCTATTTTGCTCAAGACTAGCATGCTATTACTTTGAGCCAAAGCTCCATATCTGGTTTCCTGGTGGTTAATTGGAGATAAGAGTCTCACACTTTACTGCTGAGGTTGGCTTTGATCTCAGCCTCAGATCACAGCCTCTTGACTAGCTAGGATTAGAGGCATTTGGTTTGCCTGAATATTTAATACTTTATATATTTAACAGCTATGGATAAACTTCGATTTCTGTTTGTTTGGGTTGGTTGTTTTGATTTGCATTTCCTTTATGGCCATGAATGTAGAGCTTGGCTCTTGGCTATCCATTTTAACAAATTTTAAGAAGTCTATGCTTGCTTTTCATTAACTTTTGTATATGTGTTACTTGGAAACTTATGGGGAAAAGACATCTGAAAAACCAAAATTACATCTGAAAATAGGTATAGAAAAGTGCTAAATGTGATACTACTTACACTTTACTTACATTTAATCTGACAGTAACCTTATTAAATTACTATAGGCAGTACTTTCCTATTTCTCTGAAGATGTTAAGAATGATTACACTGCCCTACTTTGTTGTGAGCTTGCAAGGGAAAAACTTAAAAGCAAATAGTAAACACATCATTGAGGCATTTCCCCCACACTGAGAAGTATTAGGTTCAGATGAATACGTTGAGAAAAAAAACAAACAATATCCTTACCTAATATTCGTAACAGGTTCAGAATTTTCATGCTCAGAATCATATTCTGACTCTTCAGTTTCTTCATCTTTTGTGTTTTCATTTACAGTATCTATCATCATATCTGATGTTTGTTCATAATAGTGAACTAATTCTCTTAGTTCATTTAATCTCTTACGAACTTCATTTAACTTCCTGATAAAAAAAATCTAGTATTAACAGCCATTTCAGAAAAAACAAAGAAAGCATGTACTATCTACACACAATAGCAACCAGAACTAAATGCCCCGTAGATCTATCCATAAATGTTAACAGCAGAAAACGCAATGTCAAAATACATCTGTTTGCCAGGTACTGGTAGCTCATGCCTGTAATCCTAGCTATTCAGGAGATTAAGATCTGAGAATTGCACCCCAAAGCCAGCCTACCCAGAAAAGTCCAGGAGACTCATCTCCAATTAGCCACCAGAAAACTGGTAGTGGAACTGTGGCTCAAACTTGTAGAGCACTAATCTTGTGACAGTGCCAGACCCTGAATTCAAGCCCTACAACCAACCAAAACAAACAAAAATCTAAGTTTATCCATAACTGTTAAATACAAAAAACATTAACTATTCAGGCAAGTCAGATATGCTGACATTATTGAACATATATAACTTTCCAAATTTGTCTTTATATAAAAAGACCTATAAAATATGTAATACTTTAAAAAAAAAGTAACAAGTTTGTTGAGTCTTCTACAAAGTGTCAGGAACTATATCACTTTTTTAATCCTTAAAAGCCTTTATGAATTGAAATGTTTCACTGTAACTCCATAAATATGCAAAATTATTATGGGTCAATTACATCAAAAATATATTAAAAAATTTTATAGACAGAAACATTATTCCTATTTTGCAGTAGGGAAAACAATTAGTAAGGCTAAGTTATTTGTCCATACTCACAAGAACCTTATGCAAGAAAATTTTTAGGACTATGTATTATTCTAGAACCTGGGCTCTTATCATTTGAATATAAAATATTTTACTTACAGTTCTAGCTATTTTTGATCTTTTATTGAAAAGTAAAAAAGTATCTGTTCACAAACTACCTGGATTAAAATGACCCATTTCCCTTTGAAACTTTTAAAATGCACATATAAAACACACATGCACCCACAGATACAAAACATACCATAATATCATTTAAGAACAAATTTTCAATAGATAAAAAAGAAAAAATTTATCCCCATTATTTAATTCTAATCTATGTCAACAGTGATAGTAAAAAATGTTTTACTGGAGTTTTTCAGTTGGATTTAGATGGCCTTCATTTTCACTCTCATTCTGAGAAACTAGAGAAGCTGCAGGGTAAGGAACAGCTGTAAGGCTACTGGATTCTCCACTGACAACTGGTGCCAAGCCTACAGAAGCAGAAGGTGCTGAAGTTGTACTTCTCTGATCCCCAGTCCTTTGTGGAGAGGCTGAAGAAGGCACAACTGCAAAAGAGGGAAAAAATTTACCATTAAAAAAAAAAGTTACGGGCTGGGAAGGTGGCTCAGTGGTAGAGCGCTTGCCTTGCATGCCTGAGGCCCTGAGTTCGATTCCTCAGCACCACATAAGCAAAAAAGAAAAAAGCTGGAAGTGGCGCTGTGGCTCAAGTGGTAGAGC